TCAAACATGAATTAGAAAAAAAATTGACATTCGTTTTAGCCGGCTGGAGAATCCTTGCAGCTTGTTTTGTTTTCCATTTTAAATTTGGTGATCATGCATCTAATAAATTCATCGGGATGTCCTGGAGATGAGTTATGTTGTTTTCTGCAGCTGATACTGAAGAAGAATTAAGAACCTATCTTTTTATTATTTATTTAGGGAAGTATTTACTTTAGGAATTGAGATATTCGATTAGACTATTACTTGTTTTTTTTAGATGCAATTTTCCTAATTAGTTTCTAGTTGAGAATGATTTAGATTACTTACATAAATATATTTATATTTCTTCTTATCCCTAAGACTTAACCATTTAAAATAGGGGCCTTGCAATCTATTTTTTGGAAGACTCTGATAGGCTTCTTCATTCTTTCTTTTCTTCATATTTTCTTTTTAATATTTTTAACTTTTATACAATTAAATAACTGCCATTTCTTTAATTTTGTGGTTTTAAGTCATGAACGTGTTGTCGCATGTGCTTTATGGCATGGAATTTGGCATTTCTAATTGTATACATGTATATGATTTGTGCATTATGTTGTTTTTATCATTATGATTTTGTTCTGATGTATGAGCAGAACAACATTATTCTTTGGTTTTATTAATTAATCAATAAAGGGTGTGTTTTACCTATTAAATTCTTTGTCAGGGTGAATGAAGTTAAGCAGTCCATCAATAAGGGGCCAAAGACGCTCCAAAGATCTCTGTGCATCAACTTTGGCTGCTCTCATTAAAGGATTTTATCCGAGAAATGTTGTGAGATACTTTGCAAACTAATTGCTTGGATAATTAGATCAACAGCGGTGCAGATGGCAAGCAAAGGAAAGGGCGTTCCGCGAAGTGCGCCTCGCCAAGCCATGGCGATCAGCAGGATCGAGCCGCAGCCTGGCCCAGCAGAGGATAATATTGATCCTCGAATTCAGGAGATCCCTTCTAGCGGCCCAGTTAGGGACTTGTCTGAAGTGTCAGTCGACCCGAAAGAGCCAAGCCGAGTGTTAAGGATTGGGAGCAATCTCAACCCACAGCTCGCGTCCGAACTGATAAGCTGTTTGAGAGAAAACATTGATGTGTTTGCCTGGTCGCATGCAGATATGGTCGGGATAGCCCGGACATTATTTGCCATGCATTAAACGTCGACAGTGAGGCCAAGCCGGTTGGCCAGAAAAGAAGAGCAATGGATCCGGAGCGGTATGCTGCATTAAAATCAGAAGTGGAAAACCTCCTCCAATCGCGGCATGATTTAGTTTCCAAGGTTTGATCCTCAAACCTTAAAAACTAGAGGACTTCTGTTATGCCTGGGAAATCAAGGGCTGACGTGGGAAATCACGTCAGGGGGGTGACCTGCTCCCGTCAGAATGGTAAGCACACGTCAGGCCTGCCAGACGCCGGGGGGCTCCCACGTGTCTGTTCCCTGCTCCAAATGGCGTGAAATCAGCTTGGAAGGTGGGCAATGTGACGTAAAGCTAGATTTAGCCCTGACATTCACACCAACCCACAGATTTGATGATGATTACTTGCACTCATCTCACTATAAAAAAGAGAGGACCCCTTCATTGAGGGGATTCGGTCTTTTTACACTCTAAACTAACTTTCTCTCTCTCTCACTTGTATCTTTATATTTATTTTTGCTTAATCATTTGTAAGTCAGTCCGCTGTTGCGACCTGACCCACAATATCAATACAACCATCAGTGGACGTAGGACTTGCTACTTTAGCATCCGAACCACTTTAAAAAGCTCTTATTATTGCATTTACTCTTCACAGTATTCATATTCACGTGTGTCTCTTGGTCAATCAACGTTACGCACGTGTCGATTAGTTGGTCTCAAAATCACGCATCAACAAGTATCAAATAAGATGGTGTTCTTTCGTTTTAATATACAAATTTCTATGAGACAGAGCTATTTTGTGGTACTGAAAATTTTGATCTAAGATTGTTAATCTGTTTGTATATGGATTATAAGACTTTAGAACGTTTTAAGATTGTCAAATTTCTGTTTATGATTGTTACTTGCTTTCTTTGCCTCTGAAGAAATTTTTTAAGTTAATTTGATTTCTAGATAGGGAATTTATTTTATGTCTGGATCTTTGAGGGCATGATTGATTTAGGTCTTGTTTGGAATTGATATTTTCCAGAAGCTGAAAACTTCTGATATTTTCCATGATTACTTCTTGGTTGTTGTAAGACCTTTGAGCCTATAATTGAGATCTGGAAGAGAAATTGGGTTTTATAATATCGCAATTTTTCTAATATTACAAGAGTTGCATTGTCAAGATGATGCAAATTTAGACCCTACCGGTATACTACACATTTTAAACTGTGCAGAAAGTTCTTATTATATCTTAATCTGGAATTCCGAAAATATACCGTCTACACTGAATGGTGCTTGGCAGGCAGCTTTTGAAGATGCAATATGTGTTGGTAAAGAAGGAATAAGATCAGTGTGAAGGTTAAGTCCCACAACAAGTGGTGTTATTTTACAAATTTGACTTTATAAAAAATATATTTATTTCTATATAACCTTTTCAACTATCATGTGCACTGCAACGCCACCACAATTTGCTATCGGGTGTACCATTATCATCAGTGTCCTTTCTACCAACACCTACTGCTAGCACTATCATGATCCACACCACCACCATTGCCAACACTGGGATTAAATATATTTTTGACATTGCCATTTTAAACTATGTTAACCATTACGATATCGCTCCAAAATTACATCTACTGGCTGTCATCACCATCATAACAACTATCACCAGCTACTTGCATATTCACCATCACCTTGTAATCACCACTAGTACACTGCCAACTTGATGGGACCTGGACAATGAGGGTGTAGGAAAAGTGAAATAAGGTAGCAAGTAGTGGATTGAGGGGATGTTGGCAGGAAACTTCCATGGGTTTAGGCTGGGACAGGTGGCGATTGGAGGTTGGGACAACAAAGGAATTCAGTTACAGAGAGAGAGAGAGAGCTGGAGGATAAAAAGAGAGGGAGAGCACAGATTAGGGGAGAGAAGAATATTGGTAAATTGGGAGCAGCTAACCCTTGAAGTTAGCAATTAGGGAGGAGCTGGCCCTCGAAGACCAGCATGACTATGTCCATTTTTGTGATCCTTTTACAGTTCTTTTAGTTGTGTTAATTACTCATTGTTCTCTTAAACTCTCTATTATGATTAATATACCATTTCCATTATTTTGGCTGTTGTGTTGGATTGATGCTGGAATACTGTTGAATGTTGCATCTGGAAAGTTCTTATTCTTGTATTTGAGCTGTGAGTGTTGCGTGTAAGTTGTGAAGAGGGTCTGGTAAAGTGCTGGGTTCCATCAATTTTATCACCTCTATGCTACCATTCCTATTGTTTACCATACCATCATTTTGTCATTGTCATTACTGCACCATCATCACTGCCTTTACCACGATGTTATAAAGATTGAATGCATTGTCACTATCATTTGCCTTTACTTCCTTTTTCATATCAATATCATTATTAGTCATATCTTCTGCCAATTCTTTTTCTGCTAAAATAAATTTCTTCAGTGGTTGTCTAATTCGCCAAACAATGATGTTAATATCATAAAAAAAAAAAAAAAAAAAAAAAAATTAATAATTAAAAAATAAAAAGAAAAAAAAAATTTTTTTATCCAAAAACAACCTTGGTGTACACTGCATTGCAATTTGCCTAATTTTGCGGAGCATCTTGCACCCTGGGTAAAATTTAAATTCTCTGAAGTTCATTTCAGACTCCTATCTAATTTTGAACTTCACCAATTTTATGAACATTTGTCCAATTTTGGAATTATGATCCTCTTTATTTGAATGAGGCATTGTTATGGTGTCAGACGTTGATTCCCATAGTGCTAAACAAGCATGTTTGTTGGATAAGCAGATAGGTTTTGGGATTCTTGTCTCTCTTTTCTGTTCTTTTGTCAAACATGAATTAGAAAAAAAAAAAAAAAAAATTGATGTTTGTTTTAGAGGGCTGGAGATTACCTTCTGCAGCTTGTTTCTTTTACTTGTTCTGATTTTTATTACGCATTTAATAAATTTATTGCGATGTCTTGGAGATGAGTTATATTGATTTCTCCAAGAGATGATGGAGAATTAAGAACCTTCTTATTATTTAATTTCAATTCACTGATTTTATGGTCTTAAGTCAAATTTTGTAATGATGATCCTCTGTATTGAATGAAGCATTGTTATAGTGTCAGATGTTGATTCTCAAAGTGTGCTTGAGAAACACTTTTGTTGAATATGTGAATGTATTTTTGGGACTCTTGTCTCTCTTTTCTGTTCTTCTGTCAAACATGAATTAGAAAAAAAATTGACATTCGTTTTAGCCGGCTGGAGAATCCTTGCAGCTTGTTTTGTTTTCCATTTTAAATTTGGTGATCATGCATCTAATAAATTCATCGGGATGTCCTGGAGATGAGTTATGTTGTTTTCTGCAGCTGATACTGAAGAAGAATTAAGAACCTATCTTTTTATTATTTATTTAGGGAAGTATTTACTTTAGGAATTGAGATATTCGATTAGACTATTACTTGTTTTTTTTAGATGCAATTTTCCTAATTAGTTTCTAGTTGAGAATGATTTAGATTACTTACATAAATATATTTATATTTCTTCTTATCCCTAAGACTTAACCATTTAAAATAGGGGCCTTGCAATCTATTTTTTGGAAGACTCTGATAGGCTTCTTCATTCTTTCTTTTCTTCATATTTTCTTTTTAATATTTTTAACTTTTATACAATTAAATAACTGCCATTTCTTTAATTTTGTGGTTTTAAGTCATGAACGTGTTGTCGCATGTGCTTTATGGCATGGAATTTGGCATTTCTAATTGTATACATGTATATGATTTGTGCATTATGTTGTTTTTATCATTATGATTTTGTTCTGATGTATGAGCAGAACAACATTATTCTTTGGTTTTATTAATTAATCAATAAAGGGTGTGTTTTACCTATTAAATTCTTTGTCAGGGTGAATGAAGTTAAGCAGTCCATCAATAAGGGGCCAAAGACGCTCCAAAGATCTCTGTGCATCAACTTTGGCTGCTCTCATTAAAGGATTTTATCCGAGAAATGTTGTGAGATACTTTGCAAACTAATTGCTTGGATAATTAGATCAGGTGCTGTTGCCACTGACTGTTAATAAGATGGACAGATCTGACACATCTGGTTTTGTGAGTGGTGGAGGTAGCTTGTTAGAGTATCTTCTGCTGGCTCTTTTAATTCTGATTTATGTGCCTGCTAGTGGCATCTACTAAAGACTCTTTTTGCTAGTTTCCTTTGTGCTATAGCCCACAACATCTCTAAAATGGATCTAAACAAGAATAATATACAGTCTTCTCAAACTCAAACTTTTGATCTAACAAAAAATGACAGTTTTGGAGATACCACTCTCCGTTTAAACTGTCTTGGCTATGGAGGAAGCAACCCTACTGGATTAAGAAGTAAAAGCAATCTACGTATTGATTTTGCCAATGTTCTTGATGACAGCTGCGGATTGGTTCTTGGATTGGGTCCAACACCAAGTACATATTGTGATTATTACAATGTTGGTGTTAACAAGATTAAAGGACCAGCTGGCAGATTGCCCCAGGGTTTGTTATCTGAGGGTGATTCAATCCTGAAACTTGGCCCTTTTATAGGGACGAAGGCAGATTTGAATGGCCTTGATTGTTCTCTTTCAACAGAGACTGATATAAATACTCCTATACTTGATGAACTTCCAGCTGATGTTCCTGTTGTTGATGAGGGTTCTACCTCGGCAAAGAAGTCTGGTGGCTATATGCCATCACTCCTTTTGGCTCCAAGATTGGATGGTGGCAAAGTTACACAGCAGGAACAGGAACTTTTACAGCTCAGGACCAAATCCAGTTTTCATCAATCGCAACCCAGCCATGAATCATCTTCTCACATAGATTTATCAGGCAGTGTTTCTGAGCAAACAACTACTGTGACATCTTCAGACTATAGAATGAGCAACACAAAAAGATGTGAGTTTGTAGGTTGTACAAAGGGAGCACGGGGGGCATCTGGTCTTTGTATTGGTCATGGGGGCGGACAGAGATGCCAAAAACTAGGATGTAACAAAGGTGCTGAGAGCCGTACTGCATTCTGTAAAGCCCATGGTGGTGGGAGGAGGTGCCAGCACTTGGGTTGTACTAAAAGTGCTGAGGGCAAGACAGATTTTTGCATTGCTCATGGTGGTGGGAGACGGTGCCAGTATCCAGAAGGATGCACCAAGGCAGCTCGAGGCAAGTCAGGACTTTGCATTAGACACGGTGGAGGGAAGCGGTGCAAGGTGGAAGGCTGTACCCGCAGTGCTGAAGGACAGGCTGGCTTGTGCATTTCTCATGGAGGTGGTCGCCGTTGTCAGTACCAGGGATGTACAAAGGGTGCCCAGGGAAGTACCATGTTCTGCAAGGCACATGGTGGTGGGAAACGATGCATCTTTGCAGGGTGCAACAAAGGTGCAGAAGGGAGCACGCCATTGTGTAAAGGACATGGTGGGGGAAAGCGCTGCCTCTTTGATGGTGGTGGTATCTGTCCAAAGAGTGTACATGGTGGCACAAATTTTTGTGTTGCCCATGGTGGTGGAAAGAGATGCATTGTACCAGGTTGCACAAAGAGTGCGCGTGGCCGCACTGATTGTTGTGTTAGGCATGGTGGTGGCAAACGTTGTAAGTTTGAGAATTGTGGGAAAAGTGCCCAAGGTAGCACAGACTTCTGCAAAGCTCATGGCGGTGGAAAGCGATGCTCTTGGGGGCAGGGAAAATGTGAGAAATTTGCTCGGGGGAAGAGTGGTCTATGTGCGGCACACAGCAGCATGGTCCTGGATCGGGAGACAAACAAGGGAGGTCTTATTGGTCCTGGACTGTTTCATGGGCTTGTATCTGCTGCTTCAACAACAACAGGTAGCAGTTTCGACAACAATTATTCATCATCAGAAGTTAGTGCTGTATCTGATTGCATCGAGTCACTGGAAAAGCCAGCAAAAAGGCCACAGCTCATACCTCCGCAGGTATTGGTACCTCTATCTATGAAGTCATCATCATCTTATTCAAGTTTATTGAATAATGGGAAGCAAGAGAAAGGAGGAATTGGTTTTGGTGGAAGCAGTGGAAGAAAGAGCTTTGATTTAATGATACCAGAGGGAAGAGTTCACGGCGGGGGACTCATGTCATTGTTTGGTGGGAGTCTGAAAGATCCCATTGATGGAAATTGAAGGTTATGATGTAGAAATATTAGGGATATTTTTAGAAGCAGAATTGGTGTATAAGATTTGGGGTCTGCTGAAACCATTTAGTATATATAGTCTTTGTTTAATTAATTGTGATCTATGAAGATATGGAGTTGACATGGATTATAAATAACAGTGGGCGGCCAAGGAAATGCATTGGTATGGCCGTTTTAATTAATGTTTAATATGTTTGTATATATGTACTCTTGGGTTTGAATTGTAAGATGACGCTATTATGTTTACTGTTTTTGCTTTCAAGGGCAAGTAAAGAATTTTAATTTTTAAGATTTGGAAATGTCTTGCCTATGATTGAGGATTATGTGTTTTTTAATATTTGGAATTAGTTTATTAACTCCCAAAAACAGTTTATAGGTTTATCCTTCTTAATCATCATGGGTTTATGTAAGAATTTCATATCTAATAATATAGGTATTAATAATTATCACTTTGTAATTTGTATGCTGCTATTAAATATTTATTTACGATAAAATTGGAATGAAATCAGGCATGTTCAAAGATTAAATATATATGAATAATTATCACTTTGTCATTATTGATTAATAATAATTACTTTATAAAATTAGTTAAATAAATATGGGATATATATATACCGAGGAGAAAGAAATTGGAAAATTATAAGTTCTCACTGCTTTCGAAAATTTGACTGCAGCCCCATTCCGTTAAATTGTTCTGTTAAAATTAATAAAAATATTGGTATTTGACATTTTCATTTTTTAACAAGGATATTTTTTACTTTCATCTCTACAAAAAGAAAAACCCGAAACTTTACTTTTTCCTTTATTCCCTTTTTTCTTCTCTGTCTCCCTACCCCACCTTTCTTCTTCTTTAGTTCTTTCTCCATTGTTCTCCTCCTTCCTTTCTATCTTTTTCTTCTTTTCTCCTCCTGCTTCCTCTTCTTCCTTTCTTTCCTTTATTTATTTTTTTTTTTTTCTCTCCTCTCTTTCTTTCTTCTCTCCTTTCCCTCTCTTCCTTTCTTTCTTCGCCATGGCCGACTGAGGCCACATAGGCGGCCAAATATGGCTAGCTGAGTGGCTACAACGCTGGCTAGATCTGGCTGATCGTGTAGCCCACATGGCTGGCTAGTTTTGTGGTGGATTTAACATAGTTTTATGGGGGGTTTGATGGTGGCGGTGAGTTTTGAGTTTACATGGATTTTAGAATGGGTTTTGTTATGCCCAAGAGCTAGGGTTGGCGTAACATACATCAGTGGAAACCAATAAGAATTCAGAAAGGTTTTCTACCGTCTGGATGTAGCCACGTCCTACAAGGACAAGAGGGGTAAGGCCATCATCAGTAAGGCAGGTGAACGCTAGGCCTATGAGTGGCTAGGAATTGTCCACCAGCTGAAGCTATACGTGATTTAAGGATATCTCTCGTGCAGACAACCAATGGGAAGCAGGTTAGGAATTGTACCTCACTTGCCTGCACGCAGAATCATGATTGCCAGCTTGAATCCTCCAACTATAAATAGAGGGCTCTCCTATATTTTACAAGATTGGCTCATCCACCACTAAAACACACACTCTCTTTCCCTCTCTCCATTTATTTTCTCTATTGTAATTCAGCTCGTCGAGTGCGACCTGATTGTAACCAACCATTAATATAATCATAGTGGACGTAGGATTCGCCCTAGAGCATCCGAACCACTTTAAAAATTGTTACTCGCTCTATCTCCCATTTTGCACTTCCATATCACGTGTGATTTCTAAGTTCGCTTAGCACTTCACACATACGAATAGTTGGTGCCAAAATCAAGCATCAACAGTTTGGCGCTAGAAGGAGGGGATGATTTAGTATCCACTCTTCATTAAAAACCTTTGACCGATCTTGTCCCCCAGTTAATGGCTCGCGGTTTTGAAAGTGAGCGACCCAATATCAACAATGAGGAAGTTCCCCAGGTACAGAATGACACTTCTCCTGAAATGCCGCCAGCCTAGCAGAGTATCATGGTGGATATTCCTTTGAGCTCATAACTCGACCCAGCTGTGATGAATTACTTGGAGAGGTTCAACAATACTCTCCAAACGGTTAGCCGAAGGTTGCACCGTTTGGACCAAGTCGTGCCACTAGAGTCTAACGAGGCGGTGCCACCACCAAAGACGTTTGCAGGTTATGCGAAAGCACGGAAGAGGGCAAAAGGCCCGAATTGCGCGCATGTAGCACGTAAAAGTAAGGGCAAACAAGTGGTGAGCAGTGAACCAGGAGGCTCCGAGAGGCTAGCGAACACCGGTTACGCAGTAGGTAGAATACCCATGGCGTTGCGACTTGGTGACATGTTGTAGCCTGAGCTGTCCCACGCCACGTCATATGGGCACACCTGTAAAAGTGCAAGCCGGGGAGATTCCCAGCCTCATCAAAATAATGGTCCTGACCATCACTGCCAGGGGAACCCCCATCGTCAGCAGGTTGGTTCTGACCACTGAGGGGGTCGAGAAAATTCCCCGAGCCATTCGTTACCCTCACATGGCTCTAGCCAGCGTGTGTCAGGGCATGTTGGAGCTTCTAGCCGAGAAGCGAAGGGACTCGACCTTCAGTCCTTCCTCAATCGCAACCATCAGGTTCGAACCCACAATTCAGAAATTAACCCCCGATAGCTCCGCTATCTCAGATTGAAGAGTTGCAGTGACAATTGGATTAGCTCAAGGCTTAATAGAATGAACAGGGTAAGGTCACTGAAGCGTCCCCTTTCTCTCTAGCAGTACTAGTTGCTCCTCTCCCATCGAGATTCAGGATGCCTAACATGCAGGCATTCGACAAAAATTCTGATCCGCAGGACCACCTCTACGAGTTCAATGACTTTATGGAACTCCACAAAGTCTCCGACTTGGCCAAATGCCGCTGCTTAGCAGTGACATTAACTGCCTATGCCAAGTGCTGGTTTAGATCGCTCCCCGTGGGGTCAATAAGCTCATGGCAACAAATGAGCTCGTTATTCTTAAGGCACTTCCAGGCAAACAGGAAGTTCTCAATGCTATTGAGCTATTTGAGCAATATACGGTAGAAGAGGGATGAGTCCGTCCAATCTTATATAGACAGGTTTCATCGCGAACTCCACAAAGTGGCTCACACTCTTGAAGAGTCCGTTCGGACTCTCATTATTGCAGGGGTTCGCTCACAGACTGACTTATGGAAAGAGCTACAGTTAGAGGACGATGTTTCCCTCACTTGTTTCCATGACCTCACCGAGAAGTATCTCCGAATAGAAAATTATGTGGCTACTCTCAATCACCACAACCTCGGTTTGTCAACCACTGTAGTAGAAGAGCTGATCGTGGTTGGGTCAATGATGATCAGCAAAAAGGGAAGAAGTAGCGATTCGAGCCCTAAAAGTCATACGCCCTAATTCCTCATCGCGATCGCGACAAGAATCAGTACACTCATTTGAATGCCTCAATATCAGCAGTTTTGGACAAATCAAAGGAGGCCAGCCTGCTCGGAGAGCTAGAGCATATGAAGAATCCCCCCTCGGTCAGGAACAGAAAATACTACCATTATCATATGGATAATGGGCACCACACTGATGAGTGTCGGGCTCTCAAGCAAGCAATTAAAGATCTCATCAAACAGGGGCACTTCAAGGAGTATGTTGACGGTTCGACTCCTATTTGGGAAAAAGACCAAGAGGAACAAGGGAAGAGGCGTCGTGGTCACAAGGGGCTCTACTATATAGGGATCATTTTCAGGCGGCCCGACCTCGCGGGGAACTCTCGAGGTTGTTAGGAAACGACCAAGTCATGGCAGCGCAAACAAAAATCATAAACAACATGGATCGTTCCTTAGAACCAAGATCAGGACACAAATTTAACAATCTATGCATTAAATACAAATCTGCAGGAAATCAATTTAAAGTTAAGAAACCATACCCACGTTTGGAGGCCCCTCCAACTTTAACTCTGAATGGGTTTCGCTACCGATCCAAGGGTAGGATCGAACCACCGTTAGTCCACACGAGAGAACCCCAAGAACTAAGAGGGATTTGCTAGATCGTCTTTAGCCTTAAGAACCAAGAACAAAATCAAGCAAATTTTGTTTCAAGCAAAAAGGAAATCAGGCGTGGGAGAGAAAAAGCGGCTGGGGTTTCTATCAAAATGATTGAAATGAATTAATTTTTAATTTCACAAAGTGTTGCACTTATATAGTGCACACTTTGCCCTATTCCATCATGGAATAGGCTTGGGCACCAACACAAACAACCCCTATGTCCAAACAACCCCTATGTCCAAACAACCCCATTTAGATATTTTAATTATTATTATTATTATTATTTCAATTGAATTCAGTTAATTAATATACATTATATATATTAACATTTAACAATAATAATAATTCATTTAAATATATGCGAACACATATTTAAATATAATTTCACTTATTTAATTTCATTAACAAATTAAATAAAGGCTACGACCTTAGCAAATTTAATTGCACTGTGAAATTACAAAAATACTTTTTTGCCTAAAAAGATGAAAACACCCTTCTTATAAACTGGTTCTTAAATTATCTTCTATGTGTGTGACTCGTAAGCTCCTCATCATATCGGTAATGTGTTGTATCGTGATTAACACCAATTAATTGTCTCACTACACACAGACCAAGATTGGCCCTTAGCAAGGCATCATGGCCACCCGATAGATTCGGATTCAACGAAGCAGCTACCTGTCAACGATATGGTTATTGTACAATCCAATCTTTTTATCATTCGTTATCTCGACGAGACCGAGGCATAGAAATAGTATCAACCTCGGTTACTCTCGATATTATGTATTCAGTTACTGGACCAATGACCTGGATTATAAACTGGATAGAGCAACAATTCAATCCCACTGTGGCCACAGTTTTAGTGTCATTGCCATTTACTGAATTGTGCCATGAGATAAATTCCCCCATACCCGGGAGTGATGAATCCTCTGTCGATCCACCATAGTCTTGATACACTCCTTGATGCAGCCAATCACTACCATATTGACAGCTCTGAATAGAACTGTGTTAGACTAGTGTCAAACTACACCAATCGGTGCACAAGGCGCTTTGGTGATCTCAAGTCTAAGGATCATATGCACCACCATTCGTTAGAGGATTTGTTCCATAGACATTGGGGTTATAGTGGGTCAGTCCAGTGAACTTGCCTACAGCAAGCACCCATGTGTTGTACCAGGTTGTCACCAAACAACCTTGACAAGTGAGATCAATCACTGCCTTTCGACAGGGTCGTTTAATACTATGATAGCCTTATTGTATTATTTGTGCCCTTACTTCAAAATAATACTGGG